CTCCCTGTGTTTTTCTACTTCTTTGACAGAAAACTGGTGTTTCACCATCTGAGTGTTAGGCTGTGGTTTTCATATGTATTAAGTCAGTACTGTGGCAGGAATGGTGTGGGGGGAAGCAACATTTGTTTTTTGGGGATTTTTTTTTCCAATGCGTGCTCTTCCATTGTGCTGGCTCATCTGTTTTTATGGCTGAATGTGAACCAGGTCCAGAAGCTTAGCTAAAACATAAATATTGTTCTGGTCTGCTTCTCAGCAGAATTAGTTCTCTGAATGGGTACAATGTGCATGTGCACAACGACTATGCCAGCACAGAGGTGGGGGAGAAACAGAATGGAACTTCAAGGAAAAGGTGTCCCTTTTTTTTTTTTTTTTTTTTCCCATTTTCAAAAAGATTCTTAAAAAGAAGAGCAAGGATGAGCAAGTAGTAGGTCACCCAGTGGGTAACAATTTTCTGTAAGCTGCCCTTCATTCTCAGTAAGATGAATTCTCAGCTTGAACATCTGGCTGTAACTGGTCTTTGTGTTGTCCTCTTCTTCTGTATTTTTGTAGTTTTTTTCATAGAAAAAAAAAACAAAGTGTTGAAGAAGTTCTTTCACACTCTACTGTTCAGCTTTCTAAAGGAATAAATTGGCCTCCAAATGCTTTGTAGTTGTGGTGCTGTCCAAGGCAGGTCAGTGACCTCCGAAGAGCAAATCCGAAGACGTAAGGGCAAATCAGAGTACTAGATTACTTTTTGACTGCTAGCACTTAGTACCTCCTTAAATTCTACCCTTGAGTTTAGGCATCCTCTCAAAGAGAGACAATCTAGGTCCCAGTGGTAACAGATACACACGGAGACGTGGCAAAAGATTGCTTGCAAGGCTCTCTTATTTTCTCAGTGGTATAAAAAATTGTTTTGGCCTGGAGGCTCAGTCGGATGCTTTATAAAGCTTCTGAATCTTACTCTTCCATTTCCTTCCCAAGGAGACTTCCTTTCTTCATGCAATTGTTTTGTATTTAAGAATTTGTTCATTTATGATCTTACAAACTGTCTTGGAATCAGAGAAACCCTCTCAAGAATACTGTGTTCTCAAAACGCGCTCAGTGCTGTGGAGGAATATTGCTCAAAAAAGGGCTTCATAATAAAATAAAGAAGGCACTAAAGATTACTGAAGGTACCCAAATCTCTGTCAGTGCCAGATTATGGGAAAGTTTGATGAAATACAGTTGTCCATCTAGCTCTTTACACCTGCACTACATCCTTAAGCTGAGAAGCACAGTAAGGATTGTACTGCAAGACAAATAATGAAAAACATCCTTTAATGCTGAGAACACAAGTTCAGACCTTAGACTGGTTGCTGGGGGGAGGAGGCGTTCAGAAGAATATACTGAAACACAATAAACGTACTTCAAAATATCCAACTGCTTTTCTTGATAAAAACACCACCTTTCTGGAAGGCAGTACTTGAAGTCAAGACGAGAATTTCAATGCTGTCCAGTTCCTCTGTAGGATTAATTCGTGTTTAGCCTGAGAGAAAAAATAAGTGATGGTGTATTGCTGTTTCTCAAAATGGCCCCTTTCCTCATTTATTTTTTTTCAGAATTGCTTAAATTATTTTTACACACATCTTGAGCAGTTGAGTTTTGCACAGACTTCAGTGAAAACTGAGTATTACTTGTAGTCTGAGCATATCTACTAGACCACAGTCTTCACTGGAGCTGAAGCACATCCTTGATTCTTCATGAGTTCTGACTGCGTGTAGCCAGGAGTTAGTGTCTAGATTCTCAAACCACGTCTAGATTCTCAAACCACGTCACTACTGAGCATCAGCCAGGCAACTGTCTTAACAGGGATGCTTCCAGTGCTGTAGCCCACTTCTTCATCCACAGTTCTTTTTCCCGCTTTTCCATGTGGCCATTTTACTCCCATCTTCTCCTCCAAGTCACTTTCAAATTTGTTATTGCATACAGTGCTAAAAAGCCACCTGCTTCTCTTTTTGATGAAACTACTGTTTGTACAGGACTTTCGACTTGTATCCTTTGTTCTGTCCTAATCCTCACCTTCTTTTTACTTGGCTTCTTTCACAGTGTTCCTTCTTCACTTCTGCTTGAAGCCTTGTTCTCAAACATTGTTTTCTTAAGCCCTTATTAAAAAAACGTACCATTTATTCTTCCACCTTGAGAACTGAACACAGTGAGGGATGCAGAGCTGTCTTTTAAATAATGTGTTTTCAGAGTGTACTCTGGATTGTTCTGTTCTGTTGACCCTCTTGTCCTCTTTACCCTTTTCCTTCTCTTACTGTATTTTAAATCTTTTTGGATCAGCTATGTAACTAAGTGCTCACCAGCAGGATTTCAAGTTGTTTGGAAGATGCCAAGCTGAGCATTTTTTTAGATTTCCTCTGATGTCACGGTAAGATCTGTTTCTGCTGATTTTGATGCATTAACATTGTTGGTAGTCAGCAAAATAGCTTGCAAACTGTGTTGGCATGATTGAACTACACCACTAAATGTAAAACTCGGTGGTTAAAATTGAATATATTTACCTTTGACCCTTGCACTAATCTTTAAATACAAAAGCACATAGTGTTGTCATTAGATCCATTGTACCTGGATCCAACATTAAGGAGAGGTTTTTGGAATCAGTTCAGAATAAAGTAAGTACTGGTGCCTTGCTAAGTAGTAGAATATCCACTTCTGTTTTCTAAGTGAATGCAGAGCAAGTCCTGCAACTTTTACATATATAGACAATGCATACTCAGGCAAACTATCCTTTAGACAGAATTTTTTTTTTTTCCCCAAACAATTTTAAGATACATTTAAAAAGTTATTTGTTTGTTTATTCATGCCTGAAACATGTATGCATGTATGTAGATTTTTAGGCCAGAAGCAGTTACAGAGGTGTCCATGTATCAGAAACACTCCATAATAATATGTGAAAAGAGCATATGTTGATTCCCAGATGTGAAAAATCTTTATCTGAATGAATCCTCATACACTGTACATGGGGCTCCGCGTGGTCCTTAACATACTTCCCTAATTAAGCTGTTCATTTCCTAGATTTAAATAGCTGTTCCCAGCTGTTGTGCATTAGCAGATCCCCACTGCTAGTCTAAAAAATTAGCTGAAACTGTTTTTTAAATTTAGAATTTGGTCTGAGTTTAATTTAGACAATGTTTACTACTATAACTTCTCTTTCTCTGGAGAGAGGGAGGTTTAGGCAGTGAAGTAACAACATTTAACAGATATTGTAACTCGGATAGCTGTAAAAAAACTGAATCTGAGGAATTTAAAAAAATCTTCTTGCAGAACATGAAATTAACAATATTATGCTAGATAAGCAAATGAGATACAGATTAATATAAAATTCTGAATATGTGATGATATGGCTAGGTGCGTTTTTAAATAAATTTTTAACTTTACTTACTTAAAATGTACATGTGTTAAAGGCTGAACTTTCTATAACATTCCGAGGTTCAGAAAACTACAGAAAAGTGTGAAATACTGTATATTTTGCTACCAGAGAATTATATCACTGCTTCAGTCATAGGCTAAGCTTAAGTAAACTTAGTTTTAAGTGCCTAATCCATTCTTAGCAGTAGTAGCAAACATTTTATAGATGCACAGAGATACTTTCTTCATTTCAGCTTATTCACCCTTCTCAATTAATTAACTTATTAAAAGCTAAGAAAACATTTTGGACTTCAGAAATCAATGTCTTATGTATTCCTGTCTAAATAAAAGAATAGGTATGAGTTAAGATATTTTACTTCCAGAATCTTGAAGCATAAACACAAAACCAAGTTTAACTCCCTGCTACTGATTATTTTCTCAAAACAATTTATAATAAAATCATGTTAAGTAAAACAAACCAAAAAAACAACTAAGAATTTATGTGCATACCTTGTTTTAGTTAAATAGTACTAAAATAAACAATCAGAAAGGTAAGCTTCATGCACAGTAGTTAAATTTTAGTTTACATCCAAATAACTAAATTGTAGTTATATGTGCGTTGTAAATAAAACCCTGGATATTCAGAGTTTCCTACATTCTTTTAGGAGTAAGAATGATACATTTCTTGGCTGAATAAAAAAATCAGTTAAATCTCTTCACACCTTTATCACCACACTAACAAATGTGAGTGATGTATTGTCCTGTTCAGCAAGACCTGCCAGCTTTGGTTAAAAGATGGTATTTATCATTTTGACTTAACAATACTGACCAATGAAAATGGGCCTTTCCTTAAAATGTAGGATGCAGCTGCTGTTAAAATGTAAGATTCAAGGAAGTGGAAAACCTTGATGTCAACCAGGAATGAAATCTGTGGTGGTCTTAGTTTTGTTTGTTCATTTTTTTTCTTCCAATGAATCCATTCTGCTGCTCGCATACCTCCAAGCTCATTCATTCTTGTTAAAGCACACATCTGGTGTGACAGGGAAGGGTATACCCAGAAAGAAGAGCTGAACAAACTGAATCATAAAGCATTTGTTCCCAAAATTTAATGAAAGAGAGAAACAAAACTGGACCTCGAATCACTGGAAGTTGCAGATATGGTTGAAGAAAAGGATTCATTTCTGTGATTCTATGAAAAGACCACTGAACTGAGCTGGAGAAAGCAACTCTCACTAAATTGATCAAATTCATTTCCATTGTGTGTGTGTGTGTGTGTCCGTCCAGGGGAGTTAAAAAGAGCAGGAAAGAAGGTGGGAACAAATTTGAGTTAAAGTAAATTTGATTAGTAGCTAGATGAAGAGAAGGATAGAATGGGAAAAGTAAATTTAAAAAGCAGGTTGAGCAAGAGCTAGCTGAACTTTGTTCTAGCCCATTTGTAGTACCTGAGGCGTTCTTTTATTTTCTCCTTTCAATCTGGCTTTCTGTTTGGTGTGGTTTGGTTTATTTCTTATTCTTTATATGCAGTTGTTAGGTTTTCTTCTGACAACCAACACTAAAAACCCCCCACCAAACTCATTCAGCTGATTTAAGAAAGCAAATGTGGCGTTAACTGCCCAGCAAAGTTTAGGATGACTCATGAGTCAGGAGACTCCTGGTTTGAAAAGGTCCTCAATTACCGGGCCCTGGAGCCCTCTGTCCACACAATAGGAGGTGGAGATGGACAGCTTCCCGGAGCATCTCCATTGCAGCCCGTAAGCCGAGCTGAGGGGGGACTCTGCGCTTTCCCTTTTGCCCCATCCCGAACTACAGCTTCCTGCCTGGCAGGAGGGCTGCTGCTGAGCTGAGCTCTTGGTGAGGCAATTCGGAGAGCTGGTGAGGGGGATACCAGGTGAGGACACAGGGAGTGAAAGGTTCCTGCATCCTCTCCCTCCGAGATGAGAGGAACTCCAGCGCTGTTCCCAAGGGAGGGCTCTGGGACACCATGGGGGTGGGAAGAGTCGGACCGTGGCAGAAATACCTTAGTTGTTGTCATGAAACTTCCCTTAGGGGAAAGCCAGAGAAATGGCTTGGTGATGTGATGCAATGACCTTTCTGATGGTTTGGCTTTATTTGCTGAATGGATAGGAACTTTGTAGTACTTAATCATTTAGTTAATCTACAATGGGCTCAGTTATTAGGAGGCAGTTGATTGCGGGGAGGAGGAGAGGCAAGGAGAAGAGGGAAGATAAAAACAGGCTGTAAGACAGAAGTGGGACAAAATGCTCCACGCCCCACTACAAGAAGTCTTTAGACATTTTGGTATCGGCACAAGAACGGGTGTGATTGATTATCCCTGAGCGATGCCATTTCTTCTTACAGTCATTGGGTTTGTCAGATCACATCAAGGAGAAGAGAGAGCTTGCAGTTCTCTTGCAGGGAAGAGGTGTTTTCAGTGGAAACTGTATCAGGTGCCTGCAAAGGCCATCAAACCCAACAACAAGGTCTCTGAGCTGGACCCAGCTATGCTTTTTGAAGGAGACCTTTTCGGTTTCGGTTTCATCACCTAGTTATTGTCAAAGTTCTTGGTTTCAACTTTTCTGATGCCTGTGAGCTGATGGAAAACAAAAAAGAATAAAAGGAAAAATAACCCAGTTATTCCCTGGAATGACTAGCTTGCCAGTGATTAAAGTAATTAAACTGATACTTCAGGACCTGCAATAGCCCTATAATTGATACAAGGGATGGGGAAGAGTAATAGTGAAATTATGACTGCCTGTTTCAGTGATAGTTTATGATTTACCTGCAACCTAACACCTTACCTGTAAGCATCTGTTCCATCAGACCACAGCTAGAATTAACGTGATGTTGGCACAAGTTAGCACTGGTGCCACAAAAGGCAGAAAAGTTCTTTTCCTGTGCCTGGGTGCTCTTTCCTGCCACTGTGCATGGCAAAACTTTTGAGCAATAGTGGCATAACATGATACTGGAAACCAATTTAAGTTTAAAATATTTTTTTCTTTACTGGGACGTCTTAAACTGGATCGGTTTCCCAGACGGGTTCATTACCTAGGTAAAAAACCCTGTGCTAATGTTGGGGGGGAGGGTCCAAAGAGGAGGGACTGCTTGAATTGGCACCAGTGCCCATACCAGAAGAAAAGTACCTCCTATTGTAGTGTCAGACAGCAATGTCTCAGTTATGCTGGTATTTTTAATGTAGTCTTATGGAAATGTGGGGGGTTTGTGTGGTTTGTTTTAGTTTTGAAGGCAAGGCTTTTGCATTAGCACCTGTCTATATGTAGAATATATCACTTTTGGTGTCTGGGGTGATCTGGATCTTCCCTGTATGGTGGCTTTCTGCTCTAGAAGTGTTACATGCTTTCAGGGGTCCTCTGCTTTGTCTTCCTGGAAGCTAATTAAGCTTCAAACATCAGGGTCCTCACTGAAAACATTTCTGTGAAGAGGAAGCTAAAGCTTAGAATTTCCAACACAGGGAAATTCTGACAAACAGGA